CTTCCGGTGACTTGGGCGGGCGTATGCAATTTCGCCCCGCCACCTTCTGTACGACGCAAACTGTATCTTCCGCTCAAGCCTCTCTATTCCCATACCACACCTGAAGGCGCAAACCTCCTCACGGGATAAACTCGGCATAGTCATGATCTATGACTTCCGCTCCATCCCCGAGTGTGAACGCTCTCCCTCATTCGACATACCGGGAACAACACGCCGCCACGTCCCCATTTTTAAAGACCAGGACGCAAGCCCCGAAGGCCTTGCGCTCCGCTATAAGAATTATGCCTCCTCGGACGGACCTCGAGGGTTTGTGCGCGCATACGCGGAGATATTGAGGGCGGGGGCTGCGGGTGGCGCGTTTCGTGCCGTGTTCGAACATATCCGGGACAGGTCTGAAGAACCATTATTATTCCATTGCTCAGCCGGAAAGGATAGGACAGGCGTATGTGCCGCGCTGATTTTGCGGATCGCAGGGGTCCAGGATGACGAGGTAATTGGGCGAGAATATGAGCTCACGGAGGCTGGGTTAGGTGGATTGAGACAACAGTCTATCGATAGAGTGCTAGCTCATCCGGCCTTTGATGGCAGCAGGGAGGGCGCCGAGAGGATGGTTTCAGCAAAGGCGGCGGCAATCATGGCGACAATGACTTGGGTGGATGAGAAATATGGCGGAGCTGAGGGGTATTTGAGGAACTGCATGGGATTTAGCGATCGGGATATTGCTGCAATAAAGAAAAATTTGATTATACAGGAGCGGGCGATCCTCTAATACGTATCGGGGTTTCGGTGTGTTTGGATATGTGATCATCCAATTATTGAAATAGAGGATACGATTGCGGAGTGACGTATTAGATAGACAGGGATATAGATAGACGTCTCTTTTTGTATATATAACCACAGGCAAAGATAACAATACAGAATAATTGGGTGGGGAAATTTCACGGCGCCCAGCGTCGTTTATATATTCCTCGTCAACATCCCAATTGAAACCGAAAATCACCAATTCTCCCATACAAAAGCAGGGAGAACTGTTCTCATAATCTTCCAATGGCCGGCAGCGCTCTGGGAGTGCCACCGTACCAAGTTTCCAGCATGTCCTACTGCAAGGATGTCCTGTTGGTCTTCCTCTGGTTTTGCAAAAGAAGCAGCGTTAATTTCATACTGGGGCAATAGGTACGATTCCCTAGACTTGCTGGCGAGAAAGTCGGCTTCGGTGGGGTTTCGAAACTCCAATGGGAAATCCGTCTGTTTACAGAAGATAACCATATTTGTAAAATCTCCTTCCCTAGTATCTGCAGGTGGCTCACTTTCACGGAAAATCCGGCAACTTGGGAACACAGATTTTATCGTCCGAACGATAAGGCCAGACGATGGGAGAGATAAGTCTCCAGCATAGTTCTGTAAATTGTTAGAAGATCGCATTAGCGAAGATAAAAGCAATATCAGAAAAAAATAACCCGAGCTAAACTAACAATAGCAATTACGCCGTCCTCTTTCAGAAGAGCACTGAGACCTTTCATAAATTCTACCGTGAACAAGTTAATTGGCTCTACTCCGCCAGTAAAGACATCGTGCACAATAAAGTCGAATCTAGGGGCTGGAGTTGCTCTTGTCGCTTCATCCACAAACCTGACAGCGTCTTGGATAACCGGTGTAAAATTTTTTGGAATGCTGAAGTAGTCCGCAGCAATATGGTATACTGCGGGGTCTATCTCGACCACTGTTGTATCTATACCGTGATTTACGAGCGCAGTAGGTGTTGTACCGATTCCGAGTCCGCTGGTTTTGAGATTAGCATAAACCATTCCGGCATGGGATAAGTGGTGAATTCATTTACATGACTAGAGAATTAGTCCCAGTGCCTCCCCTCCTTGAACTTCCATCGTCACTTTTGATCAGTCGCACCGCCTCCAACATTGTGAAAATCGAATATATAGGTTCTCTGACTTCCGGGTACTGCGCGTTAGGCAGTTGTGTCCATTCTCCACCTAAAAGACTATGATCACACCTCATCACCCGATAGTGCTCCTTTACATTCTCCAAAACGGATAGATACCCCGTCAATGACTCCTCTCGATGCAGTAAAATGAAATTTTCAGCTTGCAAGGTTGAGTTCAAAAGTGCCGTGTTGTGTTCGAACGGGAAGTGTACGTTATATCGAGCAGAAAAAAACACTGACGGTAACGCGAGCAATAGCCATTTCGATGGAAGTGAAATTGCGTAAAGAGAAGCAGCTATAAGTTGCAGCGGAGCGCGAGCCATCAAGGCATTGTGTCCAATATACCTAGGTAATAAAAACCCAATAAACTTCTGGAGAGTACTGAAGAGAATATATGACCCAAAAAAAGGGCCATGATTCCCCAAAGTCTCGCTGTATCGTTTCAAACCGGCATCTTCGAGCAACATAGCCACTGAGGCTACCGATAGAAATACCAAAGGGAAATATGTGAGGAGTTCAGTCAGGAACGGGCCATATACCGCACCCAGCTGTTCGCTCCACTGAAATAGGAAAAACTGGATAGTCGGAATACTGAGCGCCAGTACCGGCAAGAAGTTCATAATCTTTGTAGATAGTCTTTTTCTGATTTGGTCTTTTCCGAACCATCCACAGAGAGCAGCCACCATCATCCCCCTCTGGTGGAAGGCTACAGAGGGGACAGATCCATAGACTGGCGAAAGTGTCAATTGGGATATCGGAGAATACGTAGCCGTGAGCACCAGTAGCAGAGCAGCAAGGCCAATCAACTTGATGGTCTTTGGAGTGGAGACGAGTCGGTTCTCATTGACTTTTTGGGGTTGTGGGGTTGGCTCTTGTTCACTTTCCGCTCTCTGAAAGGATCTCCCGCCTCTGGAAAGCGACTTTTTGGATAGCATAGCAGCAGCGCCGAACCAAATGAAGATTGAGAAATACTTCGGAAACCTTATTCATCTATGGAAGAACAAGTGTGATGAAACTGAACAGTAAAACTTGGAACGGTTGGCAGCATCGAAAGTTTCTTGAGATGTCTAATTCCCAGTACGGCGTGTTGGAGAAATAGTTGGCAGCTAGCGAAGATGGCTAGACCAAGGGCTTAGCATGGTGGGATTGAAATATGCGTTATAGAGTACTTGAATTCAGAATGAGAATGGAGAATAATCTATCAGAAAAGTATGCTTGAAGACAGCTTATGGGGAGGGTTGATGATACAAGATACTAAATCAAGCTTAGCGTAAGTTAGTTGGTCCAGGCTTGCCGCAACCATTTACATAGTTGAGTTTGAGCTCGCAAATTTGAAAACCACGTCTACAGAAATGCGTTTGGGATGCTGGACACAATGCCACTTTTTCCGATGAATACCAGTACAAGCACTTATATGCGGCCCCATAACTGCAATAGGCAGACACAAGAATCGCGACCGCCGATAAAACCTCCTGCTTCAGTCCAAGTCAAGAATCGCCGGAAGCGATATCTCGATGCGCACCCAGAATACTTTTCTGCAGCTCTCGAGCTAGCTGGTTAGCTTAGTTCTATTGTTATCTTCTTTTAGCCACTAACAGCTTTGAGGATAGATCCTCTCCTCTACGACCGCCTGATTAGACGCTTCCAAACTGCTACGGAGAGGGAGGAGGAAGGCCGTGCCAAAGGATATTCTGGCGTGCTTGAAGCCGACCTGATGAGGTCGGAAGCTAAAATGGAAGCGCTGGCGAATCCCGACCCTAGTGCGACAGTAACATACAGTCGCGGGCCCAACGGCGAGATTCTCGCCGAGGACCAGGATGAGATACCGGAAACGAAGAAGGAGGGCGCTGAACGATGGCGCTGGGAAATGGAGATGCGATTTCTGAGGGGTGCGGATCACGAGTTTGACTACAATGTTGTGGATCAGAATGAGGAATATGATGACTGGAATGAAGAGCAAGAACGATATTTCGACGAGGAGGAACCGCACTTCTTACTAGACGGAGATGATGAAAGTCATCGAAAGGAAGAATTAAAGGGTGAAACTGGCATTCAAGACTTCTAAGATTTGTCTTACCTCTTTGCACTTTCATAGGTTGCCCATGTTGTCTCAGCTCTAAATGCCGAGGAGTGTTGTTTATGCTGTCGTGCATCCTCCTTCTGCGAAAGTTAACACCCTACTTCACATTCGCCTTTGGAGTTTCAAAGAACTCGATAGTGCATCAAATGCGGCCATGTCCATCTAGCAATCTGGTCCGTTGCAGGGTTCCCAGCGTACATATGTCGGCCAGCAGCTGTCTTGGTCGGCACGGCACCTCGCCTCTCGTCAAGATGTGGGGAAATCTCCTGATCCAAGACAGCACCCTGCGACGAGAGTCAAACGTTGTCCAAATGTTCAACTAGCTATTGTTATAACTCAACAATCCTGCAGATACTTCTTTTTTCAACCCAGATAAGCTCTCTTCCAAATCCTTGGTTTATTTCCCCGTTGTGTATTTTCCACGCGGACAGCCATGGTGATTAAGTGGAAATCACGGGAAATGCCAACAAGGACGTGAAGCCGTTCATCTGCATAATTTGTTTTCACATCGCGGATGTCTAGTCACACTCAAGCCGACAGAGTCCCTCCAAGATTGAGGCCATTGATTGTCTAATAGCCAATCTCAGCTACCAAAAATACACCGTCTCGAAAATCCCTTAACAGAGGTTCAGAGACATGCACACGCGAGTTCACTTGCCACGAAATTGGAAACTTTGCCTCTCGAGATGGCCCCACCATGGGGAGCAATTTGTGAGACAATGCAAGACGAGATGTTGCTTGTCAACTTCAAAAACGAACAGGCATGCATGGAATGAATGGGTTCAGACGAAGGAATGGCAGGATTTCATGCAGAAGATAGAGAAAGGGGCCGTTTTCAGGTGCCTCCACCATGAAGCATGCACAAATAGTTTAAGGGGTTTGAGGGGCCCTATCGGGGCCATAATGGCCTTGATTGACAGCTTCAACAGTGGTATGTTGGGGGGAAAAAACACCTTTTTCGTCAGACCAAACTCCAGAATATGAGAAGAATGTCGATATACGAAATCAAGCCCATCCAGTTCTTAACTCCCAGAGGAGGCAAGTCTCCCATTGGTTTAAGCAAGCTCTCCCGTATGTCTACTGCTCTCGAAAATCGACTCATTGAACCCCTGACGTTTCCGATGAGGGAGGTTCTTCAGTACCATTCTCTGTGGGAGAAAAGGGGTGCAGTCTTACAGTTGCGAATTTGGAGTTGTACTTTTTTGGCTCCTTTTTCTTCTCAAGATGTTCAAAGGCCTCACAAGTTAGCCAATATATTCCATGGGGTGAAAGGTAAAATGAAATCGTTCATGGGACATCCCCTCCCCCCCCAAGAGCAAACGGGAATATAGCAGACACTTTTGGGATATGCCAGGATCAGATATCTCTCTAGCCATCCATGCGAACGAATTGCGAGTTTCTCGAAAAGCTTCACAACCACTTTCTAGTCCAAATATGGGAAGAGTCGTGCGGACGATCCTACTAACCCAATACTCCGTACGGAGTACATACCTTCAAAAGGCCAAGAGAAAATGATGTCGCTGTCCTAAGAGTCTCACCAAGGACGGCCCATACACAAGTTATTTAAAATTTCAAAAGTTCAAAAAGATATTTTACAAGACGATGAATCCGTATGGTATGGAATCAAACGTCGCTGTGACCATACTGTAAGGCTCTTACAAACGTTGCACACGGCGTACTTCCTTACCCTGAAGGCTGGGAGCCAAGCATGCCCAGAACGGAATGTCGCAACAGAGCAAAGGGAGAGAGAAAAGGAGTGGGAATGGAGCAGCAGCCTTGGAAACTGCAGCAGTGACCCCGTGGATCCTGCCCGCCATCACCCGCTCCCAGCTCTTGGCGTTCGATCTACGCGTCCCGGGCTTGGCGCTCGGGGCTTGGCGATGAGATGAGCTTGGCATTTTCCTCCTTGTGGAAGTGTAACCACCACCGACCTGGGCTCCTCAATAACAGCTCTTACTATTTGCTTGGCCGCCTCAAAATCAGCAGCACTATTGGCTTACTGATGGAGTTTCAGTCGTCTTTTGCTGGCAAAAAAAAAAAAAAAAAAAAAAAGCTCACGCTCCTTCTATAACGAGTACCTACGGATGCAGTGACTCTGTTGATGAAGGGAGAGATGTGGCAGTGAACTGCTGTACGCCCTGAGACAGGGGCTTAGTCGATATCTCCTCCCTGCTGTTAGGCAAAGGAGGCGTTCTCCCGAGTTCGACCCCGACCTGTTCGAAGCTGGCCCATCTTTTCTACACGATCTCCCGAATTAGGATCCGTTGGGGGTCTTCTTCTGCTGTCCCAGACAGTCGAAAACAAATCAAATCGAAAGATTTTCGGTTCCTGGAGATCAACTGCACCCAGAAAGTGTGTGGGGTGAGAGCGAAGACCAACCGACCATTCGTAACTCCGTTTATCTATTGCCAATTCCGCTACGTCAAACGACCAACACATTCCACAGAAAGCTAGCCATCTGGGCACCAATCTTTGGTGAGAGATTACCATTACACTGCCAAGCTATCCTATGTATCCTTCCTGAGAACAAAGGATACGCAGTGCTGTGCCATGGAATGGGCTTACGCAACTTCTGCCCTCCTCCAATTTACTGCATGCCGCACGTTCGGATTTACTTCCTCTCAGAGGAGCCAAGAGCTATGTGTTTGCTTAATCGATGCTTGACTGCCGCGAGCAATAGGGCCGAAAACATCGATTTGACCCTTCCCCTTACTTACGCAGCTAACCGGTTGGTTCCGCTGCACACAGGAAAAATATCATGTTATAAATAACTACGAGTACGACGACTCTTGTCATGTTAGTTGGCAACAAAATGTTACAAGCTCGAGTTGTCACTTTCCGACATGCACCACACCACTTCCTGGATGCTCCCGCCAGTCATCTGCCTGGCGACCAATCGGCGTCAGTTATTAGCTGGCTTTCTTTTTATTCGGCCACAATTTCTGGGAATTTTCCCCCCATTTCTCTAAAATTGACGTTTCCCCGAGGATGTTGAAAACGCCCTAAAAATGAAACCATCCGAGGATGCGTCGGAAAGCTGCAGAATTCAAGTAGAAATAAGGTGTTTGCAATTCAATTCGCGGCCCTGTGCTTTGATGTAACTTATCTCACCAACTTATACTCCGTACTAATTACGGGGTTGAAAGATGTGGGCCTCGGCTTTGGCAAATAGGTCTCCTGTATCAAAAGACTTTTTTCTTCATCAATGCACAGCCGCGGGATACATCCGTCAACAAATTACACACACACACACACACACTAAAAAATGGTGACACGTACCACTCACGAAATAGCTCAACCAGGCCGCCAGCCAGGGTCAGGCGAAATCGCATATATGTACTGTTCCGTACGTTAAGGGTGGATGTCGCTCCATGGATTTGAATTCGAGAACTTTTAAAAATCGCAGATCGTATATAAATATATCCATGTATCCAAATGCCCGCGTGGTGTGCGGGTACAATCTGTACGAATTCAGACAATCGTGGATTCTCCGAGCGATCTTCTTCCCTCAGCCTACATTTTTAGGAGGTGAAAACGAATCCAAAGATTTATCATCCCATAACGGATACAATTTCTCGTAAGATAAATAAATGGGTTTGCTTGCATCTTGCCATCTACAAACCTGAAGCGACACAAAACGTAAACGACAGCGTTGGTGATGGATGGCGGCAGTTATTGTGGAGGAAAATGATGACGCTGCATGGCTTGGCAACATAGGGATTCCGTCTTCTTGTTTTCTTGAAGTTTGTCGGCTTGCCGTAAGGCTATTACGCGCGGCAGATGCAGTCGGCCTTCTGCATGCCCTAGTCGCCAGCAAAAGAGGAAGCCTACGTTGTTTTCGCCAAGATGATATTGAGGTCGGGGACAGCAGCACCGGGGCGGAGTCATCAAAGGAAAATATGTAAACAGTCTGGGCGAAAGAGAATTACACAAGACAGGAGTGTTCCTCAGTTTGCTTCAAATGGTTTTCTTTCCGATTATCTTTCATTCCATCTTTGCAAAAAGAGAAAGAAAAAGAAAAACAACGCCCAACGCATACGCACCGGATCTACAACGCAGGGCCAAGACTCCACCAGAATCGTTCCATTCGATCGATTCCCCCTTTCCACCAGGAGAAGCCGTCCGGGCTGTGCCTGTGTGCCTTGCGTATGCAGGCGAGATGGGGCTAGGGGCTAGCTACAAGTACAAAGTGCGTGTACTTGTCCTAAATAGCCTTCCGTACCTACTACGATTATTGTCTCCGACGAGAGTTGTAGATCAGTGGCATTCATCCACCCCCAAGAGCGTATAACAGTTAATACCAAACAGGATGAGGCGGACGTAAAGTACCTAATCCCCATAAGAACGAACCCATTGCTGGATTTGGTGCTCGTCCTAAAAAAAAAAAAACCTCCGCCAAGCACTTGGCAGCATCTTATCTACAATGGACTACTCCGTACGGACTATCCGTACGGACGACTTCCTGCGTTACTCCGTAGCCCAGCCAAGCCAATAATCTCTGGTCTCTCCGTCTTATACCAAGCGCCAAGAAAAATGAAAAATAAAAGGAAAAAACACCGCCCGCCAAGACCCCGGAATCGGTGGGGATCGGCAGATCTCCGCCCAGGATTCTGTCCCCCGTTGAAGCAAAAAAACAAAGCAACGCTCCAAAGCCGCATGATTGACTGACGACGAACAATGGAGATCCTCATTACGCGCCCCGGGGGGAAGGCGCGGCTTGGGGTGTTACGTTAGGAGGGTTTGTTACTTGAAACAAACAGAACAACAGCGCATAGAAAAGAAGAAAAGAAAAAATGAAACAGAAGAAACAGAAAACAGAACCCCCTTTCTAACGTTCTTTTCTTTTCGTTTTTTTTTTTTTTTTTTTTTTTTTTTTTTTTTTTTTTGG